GGCATCTTGTCATGCAAAGAATCACAGGACTAAAGTCCCTAACCTCAGGGGTTTCCCCGTTTAGTAGAAGATACAGGAGTTCAAAGAAATCATTAGGAAACAATGTTGTAATGATTTACTGAACATGTGTAAAAGGCTCCATGGGAGTAGAGAAGAACAAGGAAATGAGAAGCGGCCCAGAGACCAGACCTGCTGCCGCTGAGTTAATTCTGACTCATAGTGACCCTAGAGGACAGAATGGACCTGCCCCACGGGGTTTCCAGGGAGAGGCTGGTGGATTCAAGCTGCCGACCTCTTGGTTAGCAGCCCTAGCACTTAACCACTGAGCCACCATGGCACTTAACCACTGCGCCACCAGGGCTCCCCTGGGTTAAATTATAGTTTGTTTTGCTTTGTAGCTGGCCCTCACAGTTTTTTTAAAATATATTGTGATTTTTTAATATCATTTTTAAACACTGTGATACATAAAGTGATAGAAAATTATGGTATGAAATTAACATTAGAACCAATTTGCTTTGGAAATAAAATATATTCCACCATGAAGAATGAGAATGCTAGTAATCAGCATATAGTGCCAATGATAAAAATATAAAGTATAAGAAACAATTTAAAAAAATAAAATATTAAAATCCTATTGAAATACAAAAATCACTCTTAAAAAAATCCTTAATACTAAATTTGAGAAGTATTCAGTTATTCTTGGAAACACTGGTGGCGTGGTGGTTAAGAGCTTGGCTGCCAACCAAAAGGTCAGCAGTTCAAATCCACCAGGCGCTCCTTGGAAACCCTATGGGGCAGTTCTGCTCTGTCCTGCGGGGTCGCTATGTCAGAACAGACTCAACGGCAGCGGGCTTGGTTTGGTTTGTTTTTTCTCAATTATTCTCACTCAGTAGTTATACTCTCCTCATGCATGTGTGTGTGCGTGTGTGTGCACATGAGCGTGTGCAGGTGTGTGTGCATGTGTGCAGGTGTGTGTGTGCACATGTGCATGTGTGTGCGTGTGTGTGCGTGTGTGCAGCTGTGTGCACGCGCACATGTGCGTGTGCATGTGTGTGCGCGCACACGAGCGTGTACGTGTGTGCGTGTGTGCAGGTGTGTGTGTGCGTGTGTGTGTGCATGTACACATGTGCGTGTGCAGGTGTGTGTGCATGTGTGCAGGTGTGTGTGCACATATGCGTGTGTGCATGTGTGCGTGCGTGTGCATGTGTGTGCGCACATGTGTGTGCACACGTGTGCGTGCGTGTGCGTGTGTGCATGTGTGTGCGTGCACATGTGCGTGTATGTGTGCATGTGCGTACGTGTGTGTGCACACGCATGTGTGCACAGTGCTCTTTTCTCTTCTCTGCACACTATTTAGAGCGCATTTAGATTCTACCCTGGTTTTCTTTGCCGCCCTGCTCACTCCTGTACTAGTTCCTCCTGGGTTAATGGATGTAAATTACTTTCACTATTAGTCTGAGCTAATAGTAACCCACAGTAATTTAGAAAGTATATATACCCCACAAAGGCATATACGTACAGCATTCTGGAATTAAGCACCGTGATGTTTTTAGTTTCGTGTTATTTTGGAGTACTGCCTGTCCCACAGCTCCTGCCGTGACGTGGAGAGTCATGTTGGACATATAAATTTTGCTGCGGTCCATGCCTGGGAGGCTGGGCAGCGTCACGGCTGAGGGATTGAGACCCAACAAGTACGATCAGCTGCCTCGCTCTCCCATTTCCTTGTCATTGCTTTTCTTGCTTGCTCTGCTAGGAATGATTTTCAGCACCTTTAACTATAAGAATGTGACCTGTCTTTCAAAGCCCAGGTGAAAGGTTCTGAGCTTTATTGTTGTTACATGCTGTTGAGTGGACTGACTCATGGCGACCCCATGCACAGAAGGAAACACTGCCCGGTCCTGCATCACCCTCACGATCACTGGCGTGTTTGAGTCCGTTGTTGTGCCTGCTGCGCCAATCCATCTCACAGAGGGTCTCCCTCACCCTCGCTGGCCCTCTGCTTCACCAAACATGATATTCTCCTTCAGCAATTGATCCTTCCTGATGACATGTCCAAAGCAAGCAAGTCGGACAATGTTCTGTTGCAATTCATAGGATTTGTATTGGCTAATTTTCAGAAGTAGCTCACCGGGCCTTTCTTCCTAGTCTGTCTTAGTCTGGAAGCTCCGCTGAAACCTGTCCACCATGGGTGACCCTACTGCTGTTTGAAATATCGGTGGCAAAGCTTCCAGTATCACAGGACATGCAGGCCACTACAGTACAACAAACTGACAGATGGGTGGTAGATGCTTTATTGAGCCCTCCATACATCCACCAGCCACAGTTGCCCTATCACCCAAACTTCCATGCATCTCTTATCTCTTTTGGAGTCCTGGTGGCACAGTGGTTAAGAATTTAGCTGCTAACCAAAAAGTCAGTGGTTTGAATCCACCAGCCACTCCTTGGAAACCCTATGGGGCAGTTCTACTCTGTCCTATAGGGTCACTGTGAGTCGAAATCGACTTGATGGCAATGGGTTTTATCTCTTTTATGACTCGCCAAATTTCTCCTTGTACTGTAGTTTGCATGAATCTTCCCCACCCCCACCTCCAGCTAGGTTATAAAGTCTTTGGAAAGGTATTCTGTGTAGCCTTGATAACATCGAGCCCAAATTTATATCAAAAAGTATGCCTGTTAAATGTGGGGCGAATGTCTCTCTCCTGCCTTGTGGTAATCCACCATCACGACTTTGCTTGTATCGTACTTTCCCCCAGCAATGGGATTCCACTCATTTTCCTGTCTTACAACCAACCAAAAGCTTTTCACTGTGACCAGGTCTACATATGATTCCTCACGTGAGGTTCCGTGCTGTTGTGGTTGTGGTTGTGGTTGTTGGTTGCCTTGAGTCGCTCCAGCTTACGGTGACTCCTCACACAACGGAATGAAACGTTGCGCAGTCCTGCGCCGTCCGCACGATCGTTGCTATGAAACGTTGCGCAGTCCTGCGCCGTCCGCGCGATCATTGCCATGTTTGCGTCCATGGTTGCAGCTATTGTGTCAGGCTGTTCATCGAGGGTTTCCCTCATTTTCACTGACTCTCTCCTTTTCCAAACTTGATGTCCTTTTTATTTTTCCCTGCATTTTGCCATTTTTAACTTTCCCTTATTTCTGTGTACAGAGTATGTCTCCTAGACTGTAAGCTCTTCAAAACAGGGCTTCCAATTGGTTCCTTCCTGTTCAACCCCCTGCTGAGAATTTCCATTTCCACCCCAGATATACTGAATCAGAATCTACATTTTAACAAATCTGGGTCAACCCCCTGCTGAGAGTTTGCATTTCCACCCCCAGATATACTGAATCAGAATCAGAAACGGGCAGTGAAGAGAATCTTGTTCTTCTGCTTCCCTTGCTGTGCACACAAAAACAAAAAACAAACAAACAAAACTCATTGCCATCAAGTCGATTCCGACTCACAGCGACCCTACTGGACAGAGTAGAACTGCCCCACAGGGTTTCCAAGGAGCAGCTGGTGGACTCCAACTGCTGACCTTTGGGTTAGCAGCCGAGGTGTTAACCACTGTGCCACCAGGGCTCTGCTGTGCACACAGCAGGTGCTCAGTCAGTGGTTGTTGTGTGACTAAACATCTCTACAGAGTTGTGGAGGAAAAGCACTCCTACACAGAATCAGGGCCCCACGCCCACAGGCTCGTGCCTGCTAACAGGGGCTTCCTGCATGGCTGATGGTAAGCCAAGAACCTCTGTTTGGAGAGGTCCTCTTGAGGCCAGCTCCCTGGGCATTACAATTAGGGGGTTCCATGCAAGAAGGTCTCTCTCAATCCACTGCCTGTGACCCACCATTATAGATTCTGCTGCTTTAATCCAGGAGGCTTTTCTGTCTTAGAGAATTTCCTATTAAAATCGAGAAATGCTTTGTGATGACGACCTTATGTGTAACAGAAAGACATGTTGCCCGGTCCTGCACCATCTTCATTATCATGGGTGTGTTTGAGTCCATGATATGTCATGAATGCTAAGGCATAACAATTAGTACTTCTATTATCTGTGAACACCTTAACCGTGACTGCAAAGAATCAGGTTGTGGGGCTGTTGGATAGAGGAACTGAGGGAGTGATAGGGGGATGGGACCAGGGGAAAGGAAGGAGTTTGTGCTGGTGAAACTGGAGAGTTCCAGAATGAATCTCAACTTCACTCTTTCTAGGGGATAGCCAAGCTATGAAATTGTTCCCGGAAACTGTGGTCCAGACACTTATAATGCCATTTATTCTCTATTCCCTGCCTATTATCTATCTACTTTGTTAGCATGGCCTCCAAACCTTAAAACAACTTGTGCGATAGGTATATTCACCCCATTTTGAAATGAGAAAACTGAGGGTGAAAAAGGTTAAATTAAGTACTCACCGTCGCCTTTCTAGTAAAAACTGAAAGACAAAGATTTGAGCACAAATCTATCCTGTTTGCTGCCTCTTTAAGTAGCTGATTCAGTTATCCAGCTGGGCATCAGGGATGCAGTTAGCAAGACTTAGGAGTCTTTTCCCACAAGGCAAGTATATGTTCTTCCTGCTGTTCCATGGCACTATTTGCAAACCTCAGATTGTGGTGGGCAGCTCGGTGGACCCTCTAACTTGGTCTTGTCCTGGAGAAAGGAGAGCTCAGGGCAGAGAAGACGGCTCATGGCCTACCCTCACCAGAAGGAAAGGCCCCTAGCTAGCATTTTTGTTTTTGTGCCATGGGAAAATAAAATGAATCTGTGATTTGCAAATGCACCCTCCACTGCTAATTTCTACTGTTTACTCACAAAAGGGAACCACCAGCCTGGGATGCATCATCTTTTGTGTGGCTGGCACTTCCCATCATGAGGCATATTAATCTGCTGAAACTAACAAGGATTAATTGCCTTGGTAAAGCAAACTGGCGTTGGGATGATGTATTGCCCAGACAGCCTGGAATGTGGCCGCTCGTAAATCTCATTGGTGTTGGTTATTTCTATCTCTCTCTGGCAGATGTGTGCCCAACCACTGTGAGCACGGGGGAAAGTGCTCGCAGACGTGGGACAGCTTCAAGTGCACGTGTGACGAGACGGGCTACAGTGGGGCCACCTGCCACAACCGTGAGTGCCAATTTATCTCACTTTCATCTCGTAATCGCATGAGAGCCTTTATCTCTTTCTGCTTTAGAGCTCACAGCCCGGATCATCCACACAGTAAATCACTGGTCTGTAGAACCCAGATCTCATCATGACTCCCCCACAAATCAGTGTTTAAGTTATTGAAACGTGCTCTCCCAGTGACTCCAAAGAGGAGGGCAGCGTTCCCAAGGTTCCATAAATGTGAGGTTGAGATTGGAACCCTGGTCTTGGATTTGCCTCTGTGCATCTAAGCCATGTCTGTCCAGATTGATTCTTTGGAAAATTATGCCTGCACAACGCCTCTAAGGGATCCTTGTCTGTCAGCTCAGCAGAGGGAGGCCGAGTGTGATGTGCACAGTTAGTGTCTGGACGGTGATTGTCTCATGCTCCATCCACCACAACTGTTTGGCCACATTTTTTAGATGAAAAGACATGAGTCCAAAAACGGTACGCAGTCAATTGAAGTTATACATCTAAAATAAACACATGAAAAGGCAGATTTTGCAAAGTATCAAAAACAAAAAGTAACAGGCAAAAATGGCTAGTAAAACATACATGTGTCTCGTCTGATGCAATAGCATCATCCTGAAAGGTTAAATAAATATTAATTTTTTTTATTGTACTTCAGGTGAAGGCTTACAGAACAAATAATTTCTCATGAAACAGTAGTACACATATTGTTTTAAGACATTGGTTAACAACCCCACAACATGTCAGCTCTCTCCCTTCTCGACCTTTTTTTTTTTTTTTGGTGAAAACATACATAGCCAAAGATACACCATTTCAAAAATGTCTACATGCACTGTTCAGTGACATCGACCACGCTCTTCCAATTGTGCTGCTATTCTCGCTTTAGATGAAGGCTTCCAGAACAAAATAGTTCCTCATTTAACAGTTAGTACACATGTTGCCCTATAACAATGGTTAACAACCTCACAACACATCAACACTATCCTTACTCATAAATATTAAATTTTTGTACTTCAAAGACTAGTCTTTACACAGGAATGCTGATCATCCAATTCTAATGTTAATTTTCCAATAATGCATTGCCATTTACAGAGCACTTTTGAGGGCAGATTTTCCAAGTAACCTGTAGCTGGGAGAAGAGGTTTGTCTGTTGTGTGTGTGTGTGTATGTGTGTGTGTGTGCACCTATACATGAATGAGGGAGGGAAAAATAGAGATTCAATATTCTCTCAATATGCTAAAAAGATGGAAGCTCCAGTGCCTAAACCCTCTAGTTATACAGCCCACTTTCTCATTATTCCACCTTTAGGAAACAATGACAAGAAAGTGTTCTCAGAGCAGAGAGCCAGGGTCAGTGAGAACACAGTACAGTTCTTCAGACCGTTCACGTCATTACTCAGGATGATGCACAGTGAGAAATAGAGTCCAGGATGCACTGCAAGACCACAACTAGCTGATTTTTGACATATGTTTCTTAGGCGTTCACAACCATGGCTGAATTCACAGACATTAAACTTAAACTCAGCTGCTCCTCATCTCAGGGCTTGTAGGTTGAGCTCTGCCTTAGTTGTGGGCTGCCGGGTCCTCTCTTGGATCTGGGCCGTCCTCACCTAAGATGACAGACCTTTATGGGGAACTGCAAGGAATGTTCCCAGAAGATACGAAAACTTTGGCCAATTTAAAAAACACAAGCAGGCAAAGAAAATATTTATGTACCTGATGAAAAAAGGCAGTGTTTTGAGGTGGAAATTCAATGATTAAATGCTTAAATACCATATCTTCATACAGAAGGGAAATAAATATTTTCCCAGATGTCTGTTTTAAAGGAGAGAGCCTCACTTTGCCCAGGTATATAGGCATGAGTGTCTCCAGAGATGAGAGAGAGGATAGACTGGAAGGTCTATCAAACATCTTCCATTTTACAAGCACATGAATTCTGAAGCGCAAAGAAGGGGCAGGTCCTGAAGCAGCCATACAAATGCAAAAATGATGTTTTCATTGGGCAGCCTCAGTGAGAAGTAGAAATTTAAAAGGACTCTGTGTTACATGCTGTAGTCTGGAGCTGTTACCCTGGGTCCATAAATTTGTAAACTGTAAATTACAGTGCAGCTCATTACTGGAAACGGGAAGGGCACAGTGGTTTTTCAGTAGCCCGTACAGTGTTGGTTGTTATCCATTATACCCATAAGCAATTTAATTCAAAGCGTAATTTTAAAAAAGAAATTAATCCCACCCACTTGTAGGCACACTCACCTAGGGTTAATGCACTTGACACCTAGATTCTCTGGCCCTAAGACATGTGGTGTCTCCATCCACTTGGAAACCCCTGAGTGGTGCAAAAGTTAACATGCTCGGCTGCTAACTGAAAGCTTGGCCATTTGAATCCACGGAGTGGCACCTCAAAAGAAAGGCCTGGTGATCTAGTTTTGAAAAATCAGTCACTTAAGACCCTGTGGAGCACAATTCTACTCTGACACACATGGGTCGCCATGAGTTGGAACTGACTCAGTGGCAACTGGATTCACTTGGAAAGAACCACACTTAGACACCAAGGGTGGCAGCCTGGAGTCCGAGCGTGATGGTAAAATTGGCAGCCATCAAGTAGTGTTGTCCTTATAGACTGGAGCCACCCCTTGGCTACATCAGCGGGCAGTCAAGGTACTGCTGGGTGCCTCCGTCTGTGGCTCGGTTTCCTCCCCCTCAACCCCATCGGTCTCCTTTCAGTTTTTGATGTATGTCCTAAACTCTGGTACCATCCCACCCTGGGCACCCTTGTGCACCCTTCTCCACACTGCTATAATCTTCTTATCCTTGGGTCCCTGCTCCACTGCCCCATCCTAGAGGGAGACTTCCAGGCCCCTGTGACTGGGTCACATCCTCTTATTTTAGGTTTTTATTCTAAGACATCTGTCTCCTTCTTAGCACCACTGGTGACTGCAGTTTTGCCTTTACTCTTTGGGATTCTTTCATAAAGTCTGTCTCCTCCACTGTGCTCCAACCTCTGGAAGGAGGCAGTGCCAGCTTCTGTCCCTGTGTGTCCTCAGGGTCCACCCAGCACACAATGTGCTCAGTAACTCTGCCCTCAATCAAAGAATGAGTGAGGGGCAGAGAACATAGAGAGCAAACTTTTGAAAAATCAGTGTCTGTTATCCTAATTTGTGAGAGAGCAAAGCTATGAAAGGAGAACAAATCTAAAGGGGAAAGGGAATGGAGAAAGAGTAGGTAAAGAATAAAAAGTGGATTAATGGGGGAGAGGGAGGGAGGTGGCACAGAGAAGAGCAGAACCACCTGGAGAGGTGTAAAGCAAGACATTCCACAGAGCATTGTGTGTGGGGGCCAGCAAACCTGCCCATCTCAAGTAGACTCTGAGGGAAGCAGCAGGCAGTGCAAAGACAGTTCGCTACAGTAGCACGTGGAGGAGACAGAGCGATACAGTAGCACGTGGAGCAGACAGATCCCTACAGTAGCACGTGGAGCAGACAGATCGCCACAGTAGCACGTGGAGTAGACAGATCCCTACAGTAGCACGTGGAGTTGACAGATCCCTACAGTAGCACGTGGAGCAGACCGATCGGTACAGTAGCACGTGGAGTAGACAGATC